AAGAATAAATAAGTGTGACTACAAAAAGCAGACTACAAAAAAATTATAAATCTACTCACTACTTCTTGCTTTCTTAAGGTATACCCACACAAACTTACATAGCCGCATAAACGTATGCATAAAGAAAATTATCCAATCACATTTTATGTACGACTTTAAAAGAGAACTGCAATTGGATAATTTTCTTTATGTATATGTTTATGCGGCTATGCAAGTTTGTGTGGATATACCCTTAGCATCTTCTACAGAAACACTGAGTTTATACTCAGTGTTACTCTCAGCATCGATTAAAATTAACTCCTCCATCTTTTCCGCCATTTTGTGCTGTAGCTGCCTCACCTCGACAGCCGCAGCAGCCGCAGTAGAAAATAGACGACAACATTAGTGACGTCTTTACCCTCTCGCAGCACTGCCACAGCGTGCTACGATGATTTTTGGAACGGTGTTGGCGGTACTGCCAGCGCTGACAAACAATTTTGGAACACAGCCTAAATGTCAATGTACACATCATATCTTTTTTGACATGGTTTAAAGACAGTTTCATAGCATGTCGGCCATGTTTAGTACTCTCCTTAGCACCTTTGTCATACTGACTTAAGCCGGTTGCGCCTCTCTGATAAATCTAGGACTCTAGTCCAACGTACATACAGAGGTCCTTGGTGAAAAATTTACATGCATTTTAATAATTTTTATCGCAACTTGTTAATACTTATAATCCTCTGAATTTAAATATTATTTCTAAAGTACTTTAAATTTTAATAACTTCAGAAATAATATTGAAATGTAATACAAAACGATGAAAGCTAAAAATAGTAACGTGGACCTCTGTGAAGTTAGCACCTCATTTTTAAAAAAATCAATTTTTCGTTAGAGTTCTGATTGCACCCCGAAGAGTTCTAAAGTTCCTGCCTAAAATTAAAAATAGTTCCGGTGATCTAAGCAAAAAAAACAATTTTAAAGATTTGGGGTTCCAACTTCACAAAACGATTAACGAAATATCGCGATAACTTCTACAATATTGACGATAACGCTTTAAGTCATAATAACTTTTGTCAGAACTCTTGAGGTGCTATCTAGAACTGTGGACAAAACTGCTGTAACTTTCAAAAAATTTTTTTTCCCCAAGAAATGAAAATTTTTTGAAAGTTCTGGCAGTTACGTCGAGAGTTCTGGGTAGCACCACAAGAGTTCTGACGAAAGTTATCATGACTCAAGCGCTGGAGTTAATATTTTAGAAGATATCGCGATTTTTCGTTGTCAAACCGAATAATTTCTAACACCCGTGGGAGGAAAATTTTTTGAAAGTTCTGGCAGTTACGTCGAGAGTTCTGGGTAGCACCATAAGAGTTCTGACGAAAGTTATCATGACTCAAAGCGTTAGAGTTAATATTTTAGAAGGTATCGCGATTTTTCGTTATGCGTTTTATGAAGTCGGCCCCCCAAATTTTTACTATTTATTTTTTGTTTCTTAATTCACCGGAAGTATTTTTAAATCTAGTCAGTAATTGCAAAAAAATAGTTTCCGTGCCTTATTAAGCCAAAAGTATCAATATTAAAAATTTGGGGTGCCGACTTCACGAAACGCATAATGATAAATCGCGATATCTTCTAAAATATTAATTCTAACGCTTTGAGTCATCATAACTTTTGTCAGAACTTTTGAGGTGCTATCAAGAACTGTCGACACACCTGCCAGAATTTTCAAAAATTTTTCATTTCTTGGGGAAAAAAAATTTTTTGAAAGTTACAGCAGTTTTGTCCACAGTTCTGGATAGCACCTCAAGAGTTCTGACAAAAGTTATTATGACTTAAAGCGTTATCGTCAATATTGTAGAAGTTATCGCGATATTTCGTTAATCGTTTTGTGAAGTTGGAACCCCAAATCTTTAAAATTGTTTTTTTTGCTTAGATCAACGGAACTATTTTTAATTTTAGGCAGGAACTCTAGAACTCTTCGGGGTGCAATCAGAACTCTAACGAAAAATTGATTTTTTTAAAAATGAGGTGCTAACTTCACAAAGAGGTGTAACGTGGACTTCCACACTTTGAGGTTCCACGCTTGGCACGTTAAGTTTTTTAAAGTGGACCTTTGCCTGTAGCCGTATTATACCACACTTGTAGACCTATTTTTTTGTTACATAAGCCTCAAACGGATATATTGAAGTCATATTGAGTAAGATCACACGTAGATGAAAAGTAAAAAATGAAATATGAAATATGATAGATTGTTGTCATGTTGCGCACAATCACACGTGGATGTAACCTTTCATCTGCGTGTGATCTTACTCAATATGACTTGAATATATCCGTTTGAGGCTTATGTATAAAAAAAAATAGGTCTACAAATGTGCTATAATACGGCTCCAGGCAAAGGTCCACTTTAAAAAACCTATCGCGTCAAGCGTGGAACCTCGAAGGTGGTGTGGAAGTCCACGTTACTATTTTTAGCTTTCATCATTTTGCATTACATTTCAATATTATTTCTGAAGTACTTAAAATTTAAAGTACTTTAGAAATAATATTTAAATTCAGAGGATTATAAATATTAACAAGTTGCGATAAAAATTATTAAAATGCATGTAAATTTTTCGCCAAGGGCCTCTGCATGTACGTCGGACCTGCTCGCGCGCCGGGCGAAGCAACTGCCATCTAAGGAGCGTTTCGTAAATTACAAGTGCAGTCGATAAGTCATGCTCTTATGGTAAAAAGTTGGTACAACCATTAGTAATCGCACGCTGTATATTATTATTTATACATATATTATTATATATTATTATTATATTGTTATATTATATAAATATATTATTATTGCTATTATGTTATGATTGGTAATTTGATAAATTTTGGAAACTTTTGGTGAATTTTCAAGCAAGGTTTTGATAAATTCTCTTCTTGACCCGCTACCCTGTATAGAATTACCGACGATCGGTGATGGTCAATTCGACACATATATAAATGATATTTACATTTTCGAGCTCATATAATTTTTGCTTATAATAGTTTACAATTACAAATTTGCTCGTAAGATTGTAAGACGAATATTTACATGACGGAAAACGTTCATAGGTTTTCACTACCAGAGCTCAACGCGAAGAAAATGACGGTCTCTGCCGTCACTCACACAATGACAATAAGTATATACGAATATACTGCAATATTGAATATACACGAGTCAACCCGACATACGGGTGGTAATTCGTTTCGATGCCGCACGCCAAATCGTGGAAATAGTGCGTTATCGTGGAAAGTTATCGCTAGCTACTGCGCGGTTTGTTTTCCCTTTGTTTGATTGCCTTTATTTACATCGGCATCGACTCAGGTATGTAGATGTTTCGTATAGTCTTCTAGTAACATCGCACCGCTTTTAACCTAATATAAGCAGTAACTTCGAAATTGAGATTTTTTTTCAATAATGTCAAAAACTGGTGACTGTTGTGCTCCTGCTTCTGCGTTTAAGTGTATTTTTTATTTATTAATGCATTACATATTTATTAACATTATTCTTAAATTTTTAAAGTAAATAGCCTTATATTAACACATACTATCTTATATTAATATATAAATGATACTTTTTTGTGGTTCCATTAGCTACTACAATTTTCATTATCATCCTTGTTGATTACAATATGTTGATACTGCTCTCGAAATCATAAATTATCAAATAACATGTATATTGTTTCATTCATAACAGTTATATTTCTAATATAAAATTTATGATCATGTGTGAATTTTGTTTATAATTAGTATTGTATATGATTAGTATTGTAATCAAGATGTAAATCATGCTGTAAAAAGACCTTACATCATGATTGAGACATAATTTGTGTTATGATACTGAAAGCTTGTAGCTTGACTTTTATGTTTCAGTTTTAAGCAGAATGTCTGAGCAGTTTTTGGGTTGTACAGTTTCGGTGAAGTGTATCGATGATCTTGCTTACCAAGGTAAAATTATTGATCTAAATAAGAGTAGTCTGACTCTTGCAAAAGCATTTTGCAATGGCATACCTCATACTTCTTCTGTTGTAAACTTGAGGTAAGATTGCTGGCTTGATTAATTTTTGTAATAGATAAACTATAAGAAATATTTTAAAAATCTTGCATGTATATATACATATATATATATATATGTATACATAGAATTTAAATAAATTTGTTTAATTAAATTTAATTTAAATCATTTTAAATAAATGGGTAAATTGGTATATCACATATTGTTTATTTTATTGCATATGGCCTTAGATGGGCTGTAACTTTTAAATTGGTTTCATTATAATTGTTATTTTTTGAAAGAGGATTGTATAAAATTTGTTTCCCCTCCAAGTTCCATTTCAGAGAACTGGGTTGTTCTTAAACTTACTTGTTTAGAGGCTTCTGTCCTTCAAGGCACGACACAATATTATGATTTGTTTATCTTCTATTAGAGTGTAATATTCTTGCACTTAAAATTCTTGGTGTATATGAGAAGTAATATAAGAATTAAACTGATCTTTTACAAGCAGCTGCTCTAATAATAAGTTGTCTAACATCCCAAATATATGAATGCATGTATTAATTATCTTTATTACTACAGTGTAAAGGATATACAGAATCTTGAGATTATATCAACGGAGGAAGCAGGAAATGTTAATGATACACACAGTAAGGTAATTGTGAAGAGACCAATTGCGAAAAGGGCTGGGCGATCTATTTCAGAGTGTGTTCCAAATGCAACAGTGCAAGCAGGAAGTTCTCAGTCACAGACAAACTTTAAAAAACCAGCAGAGCCTAACCAACAGCAAGTGGAGCAAACTCCTAATGGGAAAATACCTCAAAGTACGTATAATTTATATCTGACATATGTAATATTAATGTAATAATGTTGCAGCTGAAAATAATGCATCTAATAATAAATCAGTCTCAAAGAGATTAACTCATCGGCAAAGAGCACTGGAAAGAGACGAACATACCTTCGGTACCCCGATTGATCAATTAGAGCAAGACTTTGATTTTGAAAAGAACTTAGCATTGTTTAACAAAGAGGTTGAATTTTACCGTTTTTAAACATTATTTAATACAAAAAGAAAATTTACTAATATGTTGCTTATAATGTTACTTGACTATTTTATTATTATAATTTATTGTAGGCTGTGTGGCAAGAAATAAACTCTTTGAAGCCGGACATTGTTAGACAGTCGGAAAACAATCGGGGTACTACTGCTATCTACCGACCCGACGAAAATATTCTTGTATCCGAACCTACAGTACTCAGACAGATCATGGTGCCTTGCCGTGGTGAAAAAGAATATGTTACAGATAATGGTCTAGTAATTCCTAGCATCCCTCTAAGTTTACATCGGCAATTAATAGGTGCAGCAGATAGATTGGGAATAAGTTGGGAACGCAGGGTTCGTATGTTGGAGTTATTTGTAACTATTTGGAACTATTTTTTTGTTTAATAATGAAATGAGAAGTGAGAAAAAAGGAGAAATAATAGATTTAAATAAGAGAGATCCAACCTTATATAAGATATTTACATTTAAATAAGTATATTGATGGAACATATTTATTCTGATTACAAAATAATTAAAGTTAAAAATTAAATAAAGAAAGAATAAAATAAAGAATAAAATTCAATAATTAAATAAGAGGATTTTCAAGATATGGCTTATCACATTTTCATTATTTCAAATATACACATCTAAGCTATTTTTATTCAATGTTTTAAATTTAAATTTTATTTTAATTCTATCGTATTTAATAATTCTGGCTTTCTTTGATAGGTGGAATTGCTCGGTCGCGCTGGTGCTGAACTCACCTTACAATTATTGGGTGGAAGTCATCGATTGAATCCGAATAATGCGCATCAATGGCCCACCGTGGTCGTACTGTGTGGACCGCATCGTTCCGGCGCTGCAGGAATCAACTGTGCTCGACAATTGGCTGCTCACGGTGTCACAACAATCGTGTTTGTGGAAAATGCGGAAGATGTATTTCTTCTGCAAGAATTGTCACTATACAGGCTAACAGACAACAAGGTAGAAACCAAAGTCAAGAATCTGCCATCATTGGTAGATCTGATACTTGTAGCGCTCTGCGACGAAGATTCGCCCAGAATGATCACTCCAATAGCGAGATGGGCAAACAGTAATCGGGCGCCAGTACTATCTATTGAACCTCCGGCGACGGGTACACCAGGCGTACTCAGTAAATTCAGCCTGTTGGGTGCCCTACCGCTATCGCATAGTGTCGACAACGGCAGATTATATTTGTGCAATCTCGCGTTGCCAAATAAAGTATACTCTGACGTTGGGATTAAGTTTAGATCACCGTTTGGACCTAAATTCGTAATTCCTCTACATTCCAATAACTCTTAGCAAATTTTTAAGGACCACATCGTGTCTTTTTGAATAGTCGCCTTCGTTTTATCATGCGCGATTTCTAAACCTCGTATACAGGGAAATATATTTTACTTCCGGGGCCCATTGAGTAAAGAGTTTATGTATAGTTTGACATTTGATATAAACTTTTAGATAAACTTTTAGAAAGAGAGAAAAGGGGAACGCATGATGTACCATAATATTTTTCGTATTAATTGCATGATATCCACAGATGGATGCACAATGCACTATTTCCGATATTGTATAACTTTGAAAGCTATACTTTAAAGTCTTGATTAAGCATTATACACATAGATAAAATATAGATATTTTGTCTGTAAAACTGTGAAAACATCGTTTTATGAATAGCAAACATAAGATAGATCTAATGCTCCAAATATTAACGGCATACTTCTCCAAAGTAAAAAGTATGTAGAGTCTTTGTTTAGGGATACAACTATATATGTCGCAGCATGATTTTGCATCAGAGCACATGAGTGCTCCCAAATTGATATGGCTAAATAAAAGCTAATTACTTTGCACAGGTCACACTACACATGTGTGTATCTACAGAGTTTATATTAACAAAATTTATATTGATGAGTAAAAAAAAGTATGTAAAAATTATTGCCATAAATTCTCATAATTAAGAATGTTCTCATGTTTTCGGATTAATAAATAGTTAAATGATGAGAATCCTTTAAGAATATAGAGCCACTGTAAGAAAATACTTGCTTGGCATAGTATAAGTTTATAGCTGAAAATTAATAGTAAGAATATTAAATTGATGGCTTGCACATACGAGAGAAAAGTCTTTATATATTTTTAATAATTTGTAACGTACTATTTATGTCATTAAAAATTTGCGCGCAAGACGCGCAGTTATTTAGCATTTCTATTTGATTAATTGGTTGATTGACAACAATTTTATACTTGTGCACATCTACATTTATTAATTTGTTTAGTAAACTCTAATTCTCTTGCTCATACACCGAGTATTATATGTATTTTATTTTACTTTATGTTCCGATATAGAAACTATAATAACGAAATGTGTAGATGTATTGAAATTATTGTAAACGCACATGCAAGATATCTTTAGCATTGTATAAAGTATATTAACACTTGAATATTCCTTTTTGTACTGATTTCTTTTAATGTTTACATTTATAATCAAGTGGAATTTGCTTTCGACGAACACGAATTTATAGTTATTGTAAATCTAGAAATATGGACAATATAATAATTTCTTGTAAATCTCCGATGTTGTATAAAATCGATATAAAATAATCCTGCAATTCATGTCCATTTTAAAATGAATTAAATACTATGAAACGCATTTCAAAATTTTAATGATTTATTTAGAAATATACATTTATTATGTAAGATACATTTGATAATAATAATTAAAATAAGTAATAATTATATTATGTTAATAATTAATATTAATTATTAACATTTAATAATTGAGCATTTAAATTAATAATAATTGTACATTGGTCAAGAGTAATAATTGTTTTAAACGATTGATAATTGTGTATTAGCAAAACAGATATTTAATTCATAATTTGCAAATTATATAAACTTTATAATCTGTGTTAACTATATATTTGAAAGAAATGTACTACATATTTGTTGTCATGTATATATAATTTCTTTGTCTCAATAATTTCTTTTAATAGTTTAGAAATAGAAAGTAATTTATAAAACTTGGACAAAATAAATAAATTTCATAAATAATATATGGATATGGATATGACACATTGAATTTCTATATCAGTGTTAATTTAATTATATCTGCTAATGATATAAATATAGGAGCAATTACATATGATTTGAACTAATATTCCATACAAAGATGCATAGTCATTAAATTATCCTATATTGACCTATATTAACGATATATTAAATAAGTTATAAAACGCAATATAATGAAATTATTCTATGTAATTAAATAAATTAATTCTCAACAAGAAATTAATAAAAAATATAAAAATATAAATATAAAATAGCTTCTGTAATTTTTATAACATCACTTGGACATACATATTTATGTAAACGCTTTACGCTCAATAAAAATTTACAGCGCTGCCACATGTTAAAAAATATGTGATTTTATCGTTGTGCAAAGAACTGCAATTACGTAAATAACAAAGTAATGATATGAAAGTTGAGATTTGTTTACAGGTATTGTCAATTTTTGTAAATACAGATCGACAAACCTTTACAAAAATATCTTGCTACTAAATTCATTGTAAATGAATTTAGTTTGAAATGAACTAGCGCATAAGCATTTTCCATTTCATTATTCATTATTAAAGTGAATTAATTGATCAACACGAGGAGCTGCGTATGCTTGTATGATTAAAAACTATATCTCATCAATATGCAGTATATTTCAATCTCTGAAATTTCTGAACAATTCTTTTTTTATATAAATTCTATACGAATATATTTTTCACGTCTATAGACTAATCATTTTAGATGCGCTCTGAAAAAATGACTGTCTTTTAAAATATACGGGAGAATGTTCTAAATCGGACCGTGCTCCAAGTAGGACCTTTTTAATTTAGATGAATACGGTTAAGCAGATTCGCGTGCTATTTATATATTGACATTTTTATATTACAATTATAAAATGATGAGGGAGGCGGTGGGATGTTTTTAAAATTATATACAAACTTTTTTTAAAAAAAGGAAAAAAAGGCGCTAAGAGCGTGCGCTCATCAATAAAACTATTTTACGGTAAAATCTATTAAATATAAAAAATTTGATATCAGCAATGGCGCAAAGTTGAATCCTATGAAATTTTTTAAAATTGTATACAAACTTATCTTTTTAAAAAAAAGGTGAAAAAGATGCTAAAAAGAGCGTGTGCTTATCCGATAAGATTATCGCGCGGCCGACCGCTTAGTTGCGCCGCCCCTGATGGCGCGAATTTCATGCCCTGTGGTTGGTTATTTTCAAATGCTCACCGTTTGAAAACTATTGATGCGTTTAATAGCGTTTTCTTTTGACTGCACTATCGCCCACTAGTGCAACACTCAGACAGTGTACCGTGTTTCCGTGGCTACGGTGTAGTGCAAATTTTATGCACGAAATGGGATTTTGCTACACCGTCTCAAAGAGACCGTGTAGAACCAGTGTGACATTTAAAATTTGAAAATAAAAGTCAAGCGGGAACAGGGTTTTAGCATAATAATAATACAGTGTACAGGGTGTTGCAGATACGTACTAGGCAATACGACGGGTTGCGTGGCAAACTTTGCATGGGCAGACGCGGTTTTATAGACAATGACAGTGACTTTATAACATAAACTTTATAATATAAATAATAAAACTTTGTAGTATAAGCTTTATAATGTATAAAGTCACTGTCATTGTCTATTAAACCACGCTTGGCCATGCAAAGTTTGCCGCGCAACCCGTCGTACTGCCTAGTATGTATCTGAATGAAATATATCTTTAAATCAACGCTTCATACGTTATAATCATCCTGATCCAACGTATCAATGTATTCCACAATCGATTGCATAATTACAATGACATTTTTCAATAATGCAGCTATTTTGCTCAAAATTGTAATCTCTGTGCAACTCTCAACTTTTTCATCTGGACATATTTCGAGCCAAATATCAGACATTAGTGGCATTAATAAATTTACATATTTTACAAATTTTTCTATAGGTTTCTTTCTCACGATTATCTATCCAGATCATATCTTCGTCAAGATTAATTTGTTTTCACAAACGGAGGCATAATCGATTGTGTACATGTACAAAGTTTCCTGTTGTTATATATATATAACAACAGAGGTAAATAAATTAGTTAAACGTTCTAGAAGGAACATCCGAGTGGCTGGACGAATGCCAATATTTTTCTTGATTTTCTGAAACATTTTCAGAAAATTACGCGTGTTTCCATCGAAAACTCACTTTTGTCATTGCTTGACAATCACGAGTCGCATAGGTCATTAGCAGCGTTGGAATTTTGCAAAACCAATGGAATTCATGTTCTTTCCTTTCCTTTACATTTTGTGTTTGCTGGGTCGTATATTAATGATATGTTAAATAAGTTATAAAACGCAAGGTAATAAAATTATTCCATGTAATTAAACAAATAAATTCTCAACAAGAGAAGGAATTAATAAAAAATATTATAATATAGATATAAAATAGCTTCTGTAATTTTTATAACATCATTTGGACATACATATTTCTGTAAACGCTTTACGGTCTATAGAAATTTACAGCGCTGTCACATGTTGAAAAATACATGATTTTATCGTTGTCGTGCAGAGAACTGCAATTACGTAAATAACGAAGTAATGACATGAAAAATGAGATTTGTTTACAGTTATTGTCAAATTTTGTAAATACACAGCAACAAACCCCTTGTGTTACAAAAATATCTTGCTACTAAATTCATTGTAATATTTGAATTGAACTAGCGCATAAGCATTTTCCATTTCATTATTCATTATTAAAGTGAATTAATTGATCAACACGAGGAACTCTCTCTCTCTCTCTCTCATGTGTGTGTGTGTGTGTGTATGCTTATATAATTAAAAACTATATCTCATTCATACATAGTATATTTCAATCTCTGAAATTTCTGAGAATAACTTTCTTTTTATATAAATTCTATATGAATATATTTTTCACGTCTATAGACTAATCATTTTAGATGCCCTCTGAAAATGATCGTCTTATAAAATATACAGGGTATCCCGTAAGTTTTGGTCAATCGCATTTGTGTAGATAGAGCGGATTAAACTGAGTCGAAAAGTCCTCTACCATTTTGCAATTTTCACAATGGTTAACGAGATATTAATTACTAAATATTGCCGAAAAAATTCTTAGAACTTTATAAAAAAAAAATAAACAATTTTTATCTCTTGCTGTTTTTCTGTAAAGTTAATAGTATTTGAGTAAAAAAATATTGAAAACCAATTTTTAGTAATTAATATCTCGTTAATCATTGCGAAAATTGCTAAATGGTAGAGAACTTTTCGACTCAGTTTAGTCCACTCTACCTACACAAAACCGATTGGACACCCTGTATATTAAATAATTTATATATATTCTTTTTGCCATAATATTTTATATTTTAATGATACTTCTCTCTAACATTCTAGAATATATTTGAAATAATTTATGATCTTTATTTGAAATATTGAAATTATAGGCACATGGAACTCTTCTCATTTTTTACGTTTGATTTACCAGCCATTAATTGTATTGTAGAATATCGCGCTACATCTATAATACTAAAAATACACAGACTAATATTCCATTTCTATGATTTCTACGCAATTATAGACAGAATCGTCTTGAATAATTAAGAAAATATATACAATTTCCATATATTCATCTACTATTTTTTGTATTGATGTTATATTGGGATACACCATTCCATATTTATCATATTTATCATATTTGTAACACTCGATCATTTCCGGCTAAAATATGCTTTATATCATTCATGACTTAAATAAAAAACAGATTCAAATCATTTAGGCCCGATTGCACCAACGTTACTTTGACTTTAAGCGAGGTTTAAAACTCTCTTTGTCTCGTTTTAAAGCGAAAGAGAAATAGAGACAGACAGTTTTAAGCCTTGTTTAAAGTCAAAGTAACATTGGTGCAACTGGGTCTTGAAGATACTCAGCCTCAAGCATATGATTATAATTACTTATAAATCTTAAAAACAGACCGCAAATACATGTGAATTAATATAATTAAAGATATACGAGGGTCGTCTCTGAAAACTTTTGAGCCTATAACATAGATACAAGTATTTTTTCGGTCAAAAATTCATTTTTATTTTTTAACATAGTCTCCTTTTAAGTCGATACACTTTTCTTAGCGATGCTCCCATTCCTTTAATCCATTCAAATAATAGTTGGCGTCTTGCTTTGCAAAATAGGCTTCTACGGATGCGATGACCTGCTCGTTTAATAAAAATCTTTATCCTTCGAGCCAAACTTTGAGCCTAGGAAACAGAAAAAAATTGTTGGGAGCCAGATCTGGTGAACACGATAGATGGTCAATCAATTCAAACCCCGATTGGTAAA